GCAGTTTTATGTTTGGACCTGATATATGCGGTACACAAACAAAGAAGCTTCATGTTATATTGTCTTATCAAGGACAGAATTATCCTATCAAGAAGGATTTGCAATGTGAAACTGATAAGTTGACTCATTTCTATACATTTATACTTAGGCCTGATGCTTCTTATAGCGTGTTGGTTGATAATAGAGAGAGGGAATCAGGAACCATGTATACAGATTGGGATATACTTCCTCCGCCGAAAATCAAAGATACCAAAGCAAAGAGGGTATGATAGGAACTTGGGATTGGGTTTTGGTTCAATTTTTTTAGGGAAATGTGGTGCTTAGATTATGAATTGCTGATGATATTGTTGTTGATAGTTTGGTGTTTTTGGTCAAACCAAAAATGGTTGACTATTATTATCTTACAGCCCGCGGACTGGGATGATAGAGAATATATTGAGGATCCTAATTATGTCAAACCAGAGGTATTGCCTAATAATCTGTTTAATAATGTGGTTGAAATAGTGATCTATACATGTTCCTGATACATTTTGCACTTGTTTTATCTGCTTTGATGTTGCAGGGATATGATTCTATTCCCCGGGAGATTCCTGATCCTAAGGCTAAAGAGGTTTGTTTGGTGCCCTCATTTTAGAATTTCCCATGTATTTTTCCCTTTCTCGTCTGGTTGGGGTTTGAAACACACTATTGGACTAGTCATGGATTAACTTGCCTTTATATTGCAACGATGTTCTAGGAAGATATCTTTCTATTTTGCTCTCCCTCATTCAACTTGACGATTGGATAGTTAGGTTATAAATAAGAAGAGATTATCTTGGTTTATTAGTTGATTTTAACAGTCACAGCCTGGAAGACATAATATAACAGGCCTTTCTCTGTGTTGCTGCTTTGAGTAGCCTGATAATTGGGATGAAGTGGAGGATGGAATATGGAGGCCACCCAAGATACCAAATCCAGCTTACAAAGGACCATGGAAAAGAAAGGTGCGCATCCATACTACTAAACAAAAGTTTGAATAAATTACTCAAGCTGATTATAATGATTATTGAATTAAGTTGTTATCCTGATACTGCAGAAAATCAAGAACCCCAACTATAAAGGAAAATGGAAGACTCCATGGATTGATAACCCAGGTACAAGTCATTCCAGTAAGGCAAAGTAGTTATTTTTAGCACTTATTTGGGGGGAGAATGCTTAGGACCATTTTGCATATATAAATGTTCAGGAGTAGGAAAATGAGCATGTTGGCCTTTATATCAGCATTTAACCAAGAATGGAGTAGGCGGTATGTTCAAATTGCTGAAACCTGGTACTGGATGTTGGCAAGTTTGTTGTTGTATAAAAAATGAAAATTTCATTCTGGGCTACTAACAGAGCATAGCAAAATGAGTTAGCTTCTAGGTTGCAGTAGGAATGTTTTTTAAATGAAAAGCAAAATGGTTTTTCAATGCAACTAGTCCCTTCAACAAGGTTGTGTCTGAAGTCTCTCAAAATATATGGTCAATCTAATAGCTTTACCAGATTTCAGTATCCAATTTCATTTTGTAAATACTCACAATCCTCTTTTCCTTTCTTTGTTCTCAGAGTTTGAAGATGATCCTGACCTTTATGTGCTAAAGCCCATAAAGTACGTGGGTATTGAAGTTTGGCAGGTGGGCTTATAACTTATTTCCTTCAACAGGAGATCATTGATATAAATTGTTTGGGGAAAAGTAGCAGACTAATAATACCAAAAAGAGTAAAATTTCGTTATTTGAAATTAAAAAAAATGGTTGTTTTATCTGATCTGACAAATACATTTGTCACTCTTATATAACTTGGATTTGCTTATCCAAAGTCATCTGATTAGGCAAGATAGCACACTTTATTATATTCATATCAGTAAACTGGTTAACTGGAGTGCTGGCTAGCTTTTCATTCTAAATTGAAAATCTATTGATTTCAATTCATTTCCGGTTGTAATGGCTTCTTGGCTCATTTCCACCCTCTTGAGGAGTTTGGATTTGTACTCAAGTCTTTGATTTGTCCAAATAACCAAGCTGCCTTGCCATTTGAAACTGATTTGAACTTCTCATTGTGCGTTTTTGGCGGAATGATTGAACACCTTCATAATTTTTGTTTTCAGTGATGTTTGGATTTATGCTTCTAATAAGACCCATGCTGAGTTACTGTAATCTGATAAGATCAAGTATTGCATTGCAGGTGAAGGCTGGTTCAATTTTTGACAATATATTGATCTGTGATGACCCACAATATGCGAGAGAAATTGTGAAAGATGTATTCCAGAATAGAGAGGTGAATTATCGATTTTATAGTCCATGTGGCTGATTGGTTCTGAGGAATATGGTCTGATTTGGATTACCATTTTATGTACATTCCAGATCGAAAAAGATGCCTTCGAGGAAGCAGAGAAAGTGAGAAGAGCTCGAGAAGAAGAGGTGACTTACTTTGTTTACTTGCTTTTGGAAATATGCAATTTTTTTCTGTAACTCTACTTTTAACCACTTTTTTTGAGCACTGTCCAATTGATTTGAATCATTGCATGAGTAGGAAGCTCAGAGAGCTAGAGTGGAAGGTGAAAAGAGGAGGAAAGAAAGGGGCTACAGGAAGCCTCGTAGAAGGGTATAGCATCTCTTTATTTCTTCTCATCAAAACTTAGTTGATACTTTTAATCTTGCATCTCTTGATTGGTAGCTGAATTAACTTTATATGAGATCCCATGCTCAAATAAATAAACTTCTTCTGATGCTCTGAACCATTTAAAAATGTGAGGTTCTACTCATAAAATCATTTTCAGATGATCTTTTCATAATGTTTTATTGAGAAAGAGAGATGGACAGCCAAGGAGTCACAGAAGTAAAACATCATTTTTTGATCATGATCATTGTGATGCTTTTTATTTCTTTAGTGAATGTGATTTAACATAATAAGATTCTTTTGCAGCACGATCCTCGGGATTACTTGGATGATTACCATGTAAGCATATATTTGGCACTGTCTCTCATTTTTCCCATTGTAGAACTTTTTCCTATAGCATCATAGCAAGTGGTAAAAGATCAATGGCACATCTCTACTGTAGGCAGGAATTACTTGGCTCAAGCCTTTTGTTTTTCATTACATGTCATAAAATAAAAAATGGTGCCTATATTTTTTATTAAACAAAAAACAATTCTAGCAAATGAACTCTAAGGTAAACTGTTACGTCATCTATGTCTTGGCACTGAAGACAGTATTCAGCTTGAGGCTTTCTGAACAATGATACATTATCTTCACTGAAAACTCTTTCATGCTTTAGTTCAATAATTTAGTCTGAGCTCGGAACTTTCCTTTTGCAGGATGAACTGTAAGCTTTCCATGGCTGGTTCCACCCGTGTCTTACAACTGAAAGAGATACCAAGTTTCAGATTTCTGAAGGCAGCATTGCCTGTCTAAAGCATGTCATGCTCTTGTACCTCCTGTTGTCTTGCTGTTGTTGTAACATTAGAGACTCACCAGGGCCACCGCAACTAATAACTTGCCCAAGTTGACATGGCAATTCAGCCACTAAGGTTTACGTGGGCTCTCGTTATTTGAGTTGACAGTAAATTAATGGACAATTTTGAGGCTAATCGTTGAAAATTGTTATGGTTTGGATGGATTACGGATTGTTTATCAGTTAAAACTTCATCTGCATGAAATCTTTATTGTGGTTTAAACAGGGCAACTTGCGCCAAGCAGATAGCTCATAGACCGGGCATGTGCCATAGAGGTTTGATCTCCACAATATTTTATTTTCCATTAAAATAGCAAAATCAGATAAAATGGATCCTTTAATTTTATGGTGAGGGGCCTCCGAAGGAAACGTGGGACCTCCTCAACATGGCCTGAAAACACTGCTGGACCTAACGTCTCGAATTTTTGTCTGTTGTTTGGACTTTTCCAGATCACCTCACCTCATTCCCATCTATTTCTCTGCGCCTTTGGGAACGCGGCATAATTCACGTTTTAAAAAATATATATTTTTGGATGATTTTATCATATCTTCTGTGATGAATAAAACCAAACAAAAATTAAGTAGAATAATATCAAAATAAAAAAATTGCAGTCCATAAAAATAGAAAAAAAATAAAACAAAATAAGAGGCTAATGATATTTATCAATAAAAAAAACAGTGACAATGATAATCCCATTGGACGACAAAACAAATGTGTGAAAGGCATTTGTCAAGTAATTTTCTATATTAATCTTTCATTAATTTATTAGATTTAAATACCAAGATCACTCAAACATTTACAAAATTTCTTTAAATGTATTAGGTTAATAATACATCTTTGATATTATTCAAGTAAATTAAACCTCATTTGGTATTCAAGCTGTTAAGAATATATTTATTAATAAAAAAAATCTAAAAACAATAAAAAGTATTTATTCTTCTATAAGCATTTTTATGATAATGATGGGATAAAAATCTGATATGATTTAATATGTTAATTAATCTAAGAATATCTTTTTTCCAATGATAAAGAAAAAAATAATTTAATTGTTTTTATATCTCCTCTACATGTTTTGAAAAATCACATATTAGTTGAAGGTAAAATAGACTAAATTATAAGATAATTTAGAGTGTAAATTGTTACACATACAAGAAAATATAAATTGTATTTTTTTTCAGCATGAGAAATAAATATAAAAACACCTAAATTATAAAATAATTATATATTTTTTTAAAATAAAAAATAAAAGCATTTTTTAGTATTCCAATTCTGCTGACCCATTTTCCTTGTTAGTCACCAAACTACATAAATAATAATATCCATCATAATTATTCAAGTGCCAACTGCCACGCAAGTGCCAACCCACAGCCATCCACATTAACTCTCTCTATCTTTCTCTCTCTAGGAAAACAAAACAAAGAAATAAACGAAGGGGAGTGAAGTGATGCAGATGATCTCCAAAGCATCTTGTGCCATGGCTACCCTCCCTTGCTCCAGGGTGGGGTTGCTCGCTTCCATTTCTTGTTTACTCAAGACCCATTTGATTTAATGAATGTTTTGTACTTTAGTGTTGGTTTAAACTTTAAAGTCTCTTTCTTTATGGGAAATGAGTGATCTTGATGTCTGAACCCATTTGAGAGATTGGAGAATCCTTGCTTCTGTTTTGTTTTGGAGTATTATTTGCTTGTTTTTTGTTTGAAGTTTTCATTTTTAACTTCTTTTAAGAAAGCCTATTTACTGTTTTGTGCTAGTTTTGATAGTGGAGGTAGAAGGAATGGTGAAAGTTCGTTTTTCTTCTCCTAGTGGTGATGTAGGTTTTTTACCAGAAGTGTAATTGGTTGGATAGTAAAGAATCAAGTGATTTGATGTAATGGGCACTTTGTTTTATTTTTAGTGGAAGTTGAGGAGAAGGCATAATTGGTGAAGTGTATGTAGACATATGAGCTTTTGAAGACAGGAAATCATCTTGAGAAGCTGAACTTTCTGTATATATTTTTTGGCCTTTCTAATGTAAATGATTTCATCCATCTATCACTTTCCATTTGCTGCATTTGGTTTTTCATATCAGGAGATGATTTTCCTTCTTTGTGGAATAGGTTTCGTGTTTATTTCTGGTGATGTAGTGGATATATGCTTGCTAAAACTGTGGAGATTGAGATCCAGGACCTTATATTTGTTTCTCTTACATTGTTAGGTGAGGAGTGGGCTTTGCATATTGCCAGGCATGAGGCAACTTAGCCTTAGTAAAGGTCTTGTGTATGGATTCACGCGTTTGTTGTCTACGCCATTTAAAACCTTGCGTGGAGCAAGTCGAACACTCAGAGTAGCCCAGTTTTGCAGTGTTTCTAACATGTCATCCTCATTGCAAATTGAATTGGTAAGAATCTGTGATGTTTTTATTTTGCAAGCTCTGTTGTAATTTTGAAGTGTTGAGTGCTCTTATTGTGAATGGATGCCTCATATCATTTTTTGTTACCTTCATTGCTTCAGGTGCCATGTCTTAAGGACAATTATGCATATCTCTTACATGACGAGGATACAGGCACAGTTGGAGTTGTCGATCCGTCTGAAGCTACACCTGTTATAGATGCTTTAAGTCGGAAAAACTGGAACTTAACTTATATACTAAATACTCATCATCATCATGATCACACAGGTGGGAATCAAGAGTTAAAAGCAAGATATGGTGCAAAGGTATGCAACTGGGTTCCCATTTTCTTTCTTCTCCCAACTTACATTGGATGAGATTAGATGAATTCAAGGAGCTTTGACACAAGAGCCTTATAATGGTCAAAAGCCAGAGTTTCTATTCACCGTTTTAAATCTGCTTGTATTGAGTCTAATTCTTGAAACTTAGCTTATTCTAAGGTTTTCAATGAATGCTGAGGATTCTTCATTGAGTATTAAGAGAGTCCTACATGGTTGTTTGTAAAGTAGCTCCCAGAATTTTCTGTAGTTTTTACGGTTCCACTTCTTGTTTGTAGGTAATTGGTTCGGGAGTCGACAGGGATAGGATTCCTGGCATTGATATAGTTCTGAATGATGGGGATAAGTGGATGTTTGCAGCCCATGAGGTGCAAGTAATGGACACTCCTGGCCACACCCGAGGTTGTATTTCCTTATTGATTAATCTAACATTAGGAAATCCTGTCGATGATAGATATTCATGAGAATCATATCATTATAATGTCAAAATGGTTTCTTTTCTTCTGTTAATTTTGAAATGACACTGGAAATGCATGTTAAATCAATGCATTTCCATGCTGTTCCAAAAAAGAAAAAATAATGCATTTTCTGGAAGCATGAACTTGTGATTCACTGCTTAGAATAAAACTCATAAAATATGTAAAACGCCAATATAAAATCCAAGTCACATGAATAGTTATAAATGCATTGCACATTGGAAGGCTGCAACTGGTCATAGCTTCCAATATCTGTCTTGCATGCCATTAAAATGGGGATCTTAAAATTTTCTGTTTGGAGATTATCCAATTGCATGGGACATGTGGTATAGACTCAATACAAAAAATAAAGGTGAAACAGACATTTTTTTGTTGGCTTCATCTAAACCAAAACAGAAATTTTGTCAGTAAATTTCAGCCGTGTCTTCATATTTTCTAGTTAATTGCATACATGTATAGCGCTGGTTATTTCTAGTAGGGTGGTGGACGGACTTCTCTTGTTGATTTTGGGAGGAGTAAAGAGTGTAAGACTTCATGGTTATGCAGCAACTGCAGTTTTTGTTGTTCTGACGTTCAGCTTTCATTTAATTGTTATTGTAGGCCACATTAATTTCTACTTTCCTGGTTCTGGGGCTATTTTTACTGGAGATACTTTATTTAGTTTATCATGTGGCAAGCTTTTTGAAGGAACACCTGAGCAGGTAATTCTTGACATTTGTTCTTCGTTTTACCATTATTCTGAGGTTCAAAACTATATCTAATGATGCACATATTGGGTTGGACTTTCCTATTTGAGAAAAAATGTTTCAGTACATGAATCTGCAAGGTGAAATTATTTTCAAAAGAATCATTTCATCCTTTTGACTTGAAGAGTATTGAATTGTTAATGATACATGTTTTCTGAACTTGAATGCTGATATATTTCCCTAGCTTTCACCGCCCAGTAAAAAGAGATCTGTGATTTTGAACCTCCAAAAAAGTCGTTTTATTTTCGGTGGATTTTTCTAAATCTGTCTTTACTTTACAGTTCACAAGTTGTGCATTTAATGAAATATTTTATAGTTAGAAGGGGACATCCCTGCAGTCAAATCTTGAGATGATTGGGTGAAACATTGGAGGATGGGATAGAACTACTTCCAATTGTGTAATCCAAATAGCAGGCCTCTTAATTAACCAACAGTATACAAGATGAAGCTAGTCACTTGATTATTATATGGATGTCATGCCCTTCTGCAGTCAATATTTCGTTGTTAAAAATTGTGTCCATATTGAAGGCATTATGGAAACTGGTTGCCCTTTTCTTCTTGTTTCATGATGATTTAATACAATAGCATCTGATTGTCTTTGTTGCAGATGCATTCGTCCCTCAGGAAAATCGTGTCACTGCCTGATGATACAAATATATATTGTGGTCACGAATATACATTGGTTGGTCACTGTTATCTTTGTTTTTTGTATCCTGCTTGCATGATCTACTAAAGGTCAAAGATCAAGGCCCTAAGTACGATGCATCTTTTCTGACAGAGTAATTCAAAGTTTGCACTGTCCATAGAACCAAATAACGAGGCACTCCAGTCGTATGCAGCCCACATAGCACATCTTCGCAGCAAAAGTTTGCCAACAGTGAGTCATAAGCCTTTTTATTTGTTCTTTTGAAATTACTAACCAATGATGGGCTGCCACAATGCCTGAACCCACCCCTACGCTCAAGTTCACAATGGGAGCAGGATCCAATCCTATGCCTCTAGTACAAGGGCAGGAGAATATTATAGCAACGGAATGATGTGCCGCTGGATTTTCTTATTTCCTATCTTTGTGATCTAGAATGAAAATTGATTTTATGATTTGTGCCTCTTATCGGTCTTGACAGCGCTCACATAGCCCTTCAACTCGTTAGAGATTCCTATCCATGATTGAGCTCATGATGTTGCAAACTGAAACATTGACTTTTGAAAGGTATCTTGCCTTTTGGAAGCAGATATAGGCACCAAATTCAGTTGCAAGTCAAGCATTTGCCTTACAAGGGATGTGTGTGCTACTGTACGTGAGTACATACCCTCTTTGGCTTTATAGAAGCACTTAAAGTTCTATGTCCTTAGTTTTCCTGCCTGGCTCCGGCTATTAGAGTTTTTAATTTTGTAGAACAGCACAACCTTCCTCATGGATACGCCTTGAGATGGTATTCAGTTTCAGTAAACTTGAAGTAGCTTGCAAGCTGAGTTCCCTATACATCAACAATCTTCATAAATTATCGATCAACTTGATTTAATTTCATAGTCCTGGATGTGTTTTTATTTTCTTTGCTTATCGTTGAACTTTAAATTTTATCTTTTTAAAGTTTTGCATAGAACGTGAGTTTTTCTGTCTTATCAGATTCCAACTAAGCTAAAGGTTGAAAAGGCTTGCAATCCTTTCCTCCGCACATCAAGTACAGAAATCCGGCAGACCTTAAACATTCCAGCAACAGCAAGTGATTCAGAAGCCTTAGGCGTCATCCGCCAAGCAAAGGACAATTTTTAGATCACATACAAGATTATCAACTTGTTATAGTATAGGTGATTCAGCTGTGTATTATTCTCTGCGGGTTTGGATATCTTGAATTTCCTTTGGATTCTCACCAAAAGAAATAGCAAATCCTGCCTTCTTCTATTTGGATTAAAATGGTTTAATTCTGTACCAGCTCGGCTTTTATTTGCTGTGAAAACACTGCGTAGAAGGTATTCATTTTTGGTTCTGGTTCATGGATGGTGCCATTTCTTCCACTACTGTAAACACTTAATTTTCTGCTGTTCGACTGAAGTTGGACTTGACGAGAGCTTTGACTGTGCTATTCTGCAAGTGTCGCTCCATGTAGGGTGAATTATATTCAGCTGGTTCAAAGATGGAGAGCTGGATTTTCCCGTAATGATTATAAATTAAGAAAACGAAATACCAAAACTAAAGTTAAAAAGCTGTCTGGAGTCCGTGAGGCTGCATTGCTTCTTTTCTTTCCCTTTTGCCGTGAATTCTTCTTGACGTGGATAATCTGCTCCAACACATATTTATTAGATTCGGCCTAATCCCTGAAGTTGATATTTCTCTGCTGAGTCAATTAGATTAGATATGTGTGACCTAGTCAACCTCGACACTGAAAGAAAAACATGGATTCAGGCGATGGTAGTGGTTTAGAACAGAGCATGGAACTAGGAACTTAAAATTTTGGAGACAGACACCCAGGGACCACAATGCCTACGGCCATGACTTCTGTTCACTTGCTGCTAGGAAGACCACTCTGCACCATTTATTAATCAATGGCATTTGTGGGGTGAATAATGAATAGCTTTATCATGGTGGGACACCAGCAAATGAAGGCTGGTTTTCGTTGAGTTAGGAAGAAATCCGGCCCCACCATGCTAGAAAAAAACAAGGAATTGGGCCAGGTATGGCAGAGACTTGTGTCTTGTGTCGTGGGAGAGGTTGCTTACCTCTATCTGCTTCGTGTGTTTGTTTCTTTTGGCTTTGTGGTATGGTAGGTGATGGATGGGTTTACCAAATAAAGCTGAAAAGGATCTTACATCACTCCCATCTCCCGTTGAAGAAACTGGCACCAAATCCATGGAGTTGGCAGGCATGGTCACGTCTTTCATGACAGATCTGCTCTACTTTTTAAAAAGTTAATTTTTTTCTTTAAATTAATTTTTTTATGTTTTTAAATAAAAAAGTGATTTGTAAAATAAAATAATATTATTTTAATATATTTTTAAATAAAAAATATTCTAAAAAATAACAATTACCCCAATTTCAAACTTGAAATCATGCCCTAAAAGCTATGGACTAATGCTGAATCTTTTTAATGCTTCTTTGTCCAATTCTCTCATCGGTAGGTCACCTGCCTGGTGTTCTTATACGATCATTCTCTTCAATCACCATGCCTTGTAGTTAGTACATGGCTAAGTTATTAAACCTGAATATAATTTTATGATGTTTTTAAAAAATAATATTATTTTTGAATATTTTTTTAAAAAAATCACATTAAATATTAACCATATCCACTAGAACAATTGTTGATATGGCAGGTCAATTAGATTTGACTCTTTTATTTTTTCTATAAAAAATAACAACATTTTGTTATCAATTTAAATTAAAATTTAACCAAATTAATAGGATAATTCAATCAACTTCCACTCTATTTAATCTAAAATCTAACCTTTCAAGTTGACCTATTTAATTGAAGAGTGTTAAATAAAATTAATATACGGGTCAACTTTCTCCTAATATAAATAAATTGATCTCTTTAATTCCGATTAAAAACATATCATTTATGCATATCAAAACTATATAAATTATATACTAAGGATCCTTTCACTCGAAGTATCAACTTGAGGAAAAAGACAAAGAAGGATTAGGAACCTCGTAGCCTTGGAAACCTCGTAACATGCTACATAAGCTTGCATCATAAAGTCAAGCAGATGGGATCTAAATATAATAGTGAGGATATGGTAATAATTGTTTTTTAAAATATTTTTATTTGAAAATATATTAAAATAATATATATATTTTAATTTTAAACAATTATTTTTAATCTAAAACTATATAAAAAACATTAAACAGGAAATTATTTAAATTCTGTGCAACCTTGTTTAGAAGACAACAAGAAAAGGGGGCTAGAAGGAGGATGTTCTGAAGTTTAAGAAAGCAAATTCCTTTTCAAGTTAGCTTTTATGTCAAAGTTTATGTTTTCTTTTGTTTTATTCAACTGGTCCCCATATTGATCCATTGAATTTTAGGATTGCTCGTTTTTAAAGTTTTGTGTGTCTATAAAATAAGCAAAAAGGACTAGATGAATGCACTAGACTACTAGTTAACTATATATATGATTTATTTTTAAATTCAAATATGGAAATATAGCTGGAATAGCTTAGTTGAGGTTAAAGGAGTGTTTGAAAATGTGATTAATCTGTATTTTTTTTTAAATTTATGTTTTAAATTATTTTGATGTGTTGATTTAAAAAATAACTATAAAAAATAAAAAATATTATTTTAATATATTTTATAATAAAAATACTTTAAAAAACAACCACAACCATAAATTAATAAAAACAAATTAATAATTTAAAATATGCTATAAATCTTTTTTCTTTTTTACATAATCTAAGAAACACACTTGATAATAAAAAACACATAAACATAAATTTTAAATGATGCATAAATCCAGTTATAAAATCTAAATGTCTTATTTGGAGGATTTATAACTTAGTAATCTGTCTAAATAAAAAAGAAGAAGAATGAATTAATCTAATCTTATTTGAATCAATTCGCAATTTTAACCTAACTAAAACTTGATCAGGAATATATTAATATTTTTTTAAAATATTTTTATTAAAAAATATTTAAATTTAAATTATTCTTAATTAACAGAGCCAACACTATTAATTTATAACCCAAGTATTATACTTAGATAATCTCCGTATCGAGATTTAGAACTGTCACATAAACTGATTCCGAGTTTCGAATATACCCTTCACCATCAACCTATGTGCAGGAAAAAAGAAAGAAAAAGGAAAGCAGATCCTATAGGACCCACCAACAATTAAGAGTCTCGATAAACGCATGCACAGTTTCCCCGCCAATTCTTTCTTCAGTTATAAAAAATTCCCAAACCCCCAAATCTCGAGAACATTAATCAAATCCTCTAAAAATGGCGATCGTCGACGATTTGATAAGCCCTGGAGGAGGCCAAAGAGCTTGCGTCGTGGTGCTTGGTGGCCGGGGCTTTTTAGGCCGATCGCTTGTTACACGTCTCCTTCAACTCGGTGACTGGATCGTTCGAGTCGCCGATTCGACTCACTCCTTGCAGCTCGATGCTGACTCTAATCATGGTGACTCTGTCCTCCGTGATGCTCTTGCGTCCGGTTTTGCTTCGTATTGTCAAGTCGATGTTCGCGATCCCTCTCAAATCACTAAAGGTAACAAAAAATTAGGAGGTTTCGAGGTGTTCAAATGCGGTGCCGTTTCCTTTTGGCTCTGTGTGTGTGCTTGGTTGGTGAGAAAGTGTGAGAAAGGAATTCGTGATGCTCTTGCGTCCGGTTTTGCTTCTTATTGTCAAGTCGATGTTCGTGATCCCTCTCAAATCACTAAAGGTAACGAAAAATTAGGAGGTTTCGAGGTGTTCAAATGCGGTGCCGTTTCCTTTTGGCTGTATGTATGTGTGTGTGTGTGTGCTTGTATGGTTGGTTGGTGAGAAAGTGTGAGAAAGGAAGGGGAAATGAGAGAAAAATGCAATTTTTTTGGATTGCTGCGGTGATTCTTGGCAGTACCCTGGTAAAATGAGGCTGTAAATTATTTGTTTAATTGTTTAACTCCTTGAAATTTTGTAAAGTTACTATCTTTTATTCAATTACTTCTCGAAATTTAAAATATTAAGGAATATCATGTGCTTTTGGCTGGTAAAAAGGTAATTGAAAAGAAAAATAAAAGGAAAGAAATGGAGAGAAAATTACCGTGATGAAATAAATCTGTGCAAGTCCATGACTGTTTTAAGTTAGAGTTCAATTTGTTTTATAGTTTTTGTAATTGAAGAGAGTTACTGAGGTTCAGTTTACTGTAGCTTTGGGGTTTTGAAACGAGTGATGGAAGGTCATTTGTGGGATTCTGGAGTGAGTTTCTTTTGTTTGGTTTCTAAGAAAATTGAAAGAAAGAAAGCAAAGTTAAGTTTTGAATTATTTATTCAATGTAGTGTGAGTGTTAGCCCTGTAAAGTTCATATTATTTCATGAAACTCTTGAGTGATTTTAGCTTCTTAACAAATGGTTAGATGCTCATGGTGGTGGGACTCTTTGTTTGGTTGCTGAGAAAATGGGAGAAATGGATATCTGAATAACGTGAAAATTCGTGGGTGGAAATTTGAATTTGGTTAATTTTTTCTGGATGATATGTAAATGAAGAGAGCGAAATGTCTGTCTTTTTGCAGCTGTTGAAGGATCATCTGTTGTATTTTACATGGAAGCTACTGACTTACCGAAACATGATTTCTATGATTGCTACATGCTTATAGTTCAAGGTAATTAATGGGCTATTACTTTTTTCAGTATATTAAAACCATGCACCATGGAGGGGGGTAGTTGGTACTGGGGGTGGAACATTTCAGAATAATTTTTGTCTGATTGCTTGTTTTCATTTTATACAGGTGCTAAAAATGTCATCAATGCTTGCCAAGAATGCAAAGTTAGACAGCTTATATATAACAGTCCTGCAGATGTAATTTTTTATGGTTCACGCGATATATGTAATAGGGACGAGTCTTTTCTATGCCACTGGAAAGTATGTTTGTTGCTCTAGAGATTTCACTTCTTCTTCTTCTTCTTCTTCTTCATTTATTTTTTGGAGAATGAAATTCTCTTCTTACATTTTCTACTGTGTAATGTAATTTTCTTTTCCCTTTTGACTGGTATTTTTTTTTTAATCATGATACAGTTTGCAGACATGCTGAGTGATCTTAAGGCTCAAGCAGAAGCATTAGTCCTGTATGCTAACAACATTGGCGGTCTTTTAACATGTGCACTGCGGCCTAGCAATGTCTTCGGACCTGGGGACACTCAGCTTGTTCCTTTTTTAGTGAATTTAGCAAGATCTGGCTGGGCAAAGGTTTGAGGACTATTTGTGCTCAGCATCTTTTGTGTGATTTTTCATGCTTTATTGATT